GAGTCTACCTAGCAGAGAGTCTACCTAGTGGAGAGTCTAACTAGCGGAGAGCCTACCTAGTGGAGAGTCTACCTAGTGGAGAGTCTACCTAGCGGAGTGTCTACCTAGTGGACCTAGTGGAGAGTCTACCTAGCGGAGAGTCTACTAGTAGAGAGTCTACCTAGTGGAGAGTCTACTTAGTAGAGAGTCTACCTAGTGGAGAGTCTACCTAGCGGAGAGTCTACCTAGTGGAGAGTCTACCAAGTGGAGAGTCTACCTAGCGGAGACTCTACCTAGTGTATAGTCTACCTAGTGGAGAGTCTACCTATCGGAGACTCTACCTAGCAGAGACTCTACCTAGCGGAGAGTTTACCTAGTGGAGAGTTTACCTAGCGGAGAGTCTACCTAGTGGACCTAGTGGAGAGTCTACTAGTAGAGAGTCTACCTAGCGGAGAGTCTACCTAGTGGAGAGTCTACCTAGCGGAGAGTCTTCTAGTGGAGAGTCTACCTAGCGGAGAGTCTTCTAGTCGAGAGTCTACCTCGTGGAGAGTCTACCTAGCAGAGAGTCTTCCTAGCGGTGAGTCTACCTAGTGGAGAGTCTACCTAGTGGAGAGTCTACCTAGTAGAGAGTCTACCTAGCAGAGAGTCTACCTAGCGGAGAGTCTACCTAGTAGAGAGTCTACCTAGCAGAGAGTCTACCTACCGGAGAGTCTACCTAGTAGAGAGTCTACCTAGCAGAGAGTCTACCTAGCGGAGAGTCTACCTAGTAGAGAGTCTACCTAGTGGAGAATCTACCTAGCGGAGAGTCTTCCTAGCGGTGAGTCTACCTAGTGGAGAGTCTACCTAGTGGAGAGTCTACCTAGTGGAGAGTCTACCTAGCAGAGAGTCTACCTAGTGTATAGTCTACCTAGTGTATAGTCTAGCTAGTAGAGAGTCTACCTAGCAGAGAGTCTACCTAGTGTATAGTCTAGCTAGTAGAGAGTCTACCTAGCAGAAAGTCTACCTAGTGGAGAGTCTACCTACCGGAGAGTCTGCCTAGTAGAGAGTCTACCTAGCAGAGAGTCTACCTAGTGGAGAGTCTACCTAGCAGAGAGTCTACCTAGCAGAGAGTCTACCTAGTGGAGAGTCTAACTAGCGGAGAGCCTACCTAGTGGAGAGTCTACCTAGTGGAGAGTCTACCTAGCGGAGTGTCTACCTAGTGGACCTAGTGGAGAGTCTACCTAGCGGAGAGTCTACTAGTAGAGAGTCTACCTAGTGGAGAGTCTACTTAGTAGAGAGTCTACCTAGTGGAGAGTCTACCTAGCGGAGAGTCTACCTAGTGGAGAGTCTACCTAGTAGAGAGTCTACCTAGCAGAGAGTCTAACTAGCAGAGAGTCTACCTAGTGGAGAGACTACCTAGTGGAGAATCTACCTAGTGGAGAGTCTACCTAGTGGAGAGTCTACCTAGTGGAGAGTCTACCTAGCGGAGAGTCTACTAGTAGAGAGTCTACCTAGTAGAGAGTCTACCTAGTAGAGAGTCTACCTAGTAGAGAGTCTACCTAGTGGATAGTCTACCTAGTGGAGTGTCTACCTAGTAGAGAGTCTACCTAGTAGAGAGTCTACCTAGCGGAGAGCCTACCTAGTGGAGAGTCTACCTAGCGGAGTGTCTACCTAGTGGACCTAGTGGAGAGTCTACCTAGCGGAGAGTCTACTAGTGGAGAGTCTACCTAGTAGAGAGTCTACCTAGCGGAGAGTCTACCTAGTGGAGAGTCTACCTAGCGGAGAGTCTACTAGTGGAGCGTCTATCTAGTAGAGAGTCTACCTAGTTGAGAGTCTACCTAGTGGAGTCTACCTAGTGAAGAGTCTACCTAGTAGAGAGTCTACCTAGTAGAGAGTCTACCTAGTGGAGAGTCTACTAGTGGAGAGTCTACCTAGTGGAGAGTCTACCTAGTAGAGAGTCTACTAGTAGAGAGTCTACCTAGTGGAGAGTCTAATATGATCCATAATAGAGGGGTTTTTTTGGGTTAGATCGCGTAAATATATAAATGTGTCGTGGAACCCGGCGACAACCCGACACAGTCAATTAACAAGGGTTGTCACGTAAACAGACCGCGCCAATTCGTTACGACACAGCAGAATCAACCAATCAGAATGTTTCCTTATACCGGAGGAATCCGATGAGCCCCAAAGCTCTGGCTAGGTGCCCTTCGGGGCACGAGGGCACTGAACAGACCCCCCCCCCCCCCCCCCAGGTGTTATGGGGTTGAGCGCCTGAATGCCATGGGGCGGGACGAGGGGCGGGGGGAAGGGGGGTGAGGGGCGGGGCAGGGGGCTGGTGAACCCCCCCCACCCCCAACCACTTTCCAAATCAATCACAAACATACGCATCGGCAACACCAAGAGACAAAGATCCCCCGTGTAGCCTTGGCAGAGGGTTGGGGCAAGCGCTGTTAGCGAGTAGCACCTACGAAGGGCGGCACTGGGGCACACGAGGGGGTGGGTGGCCAGAACCACGCCCGGCCGTCTTTGTCTCCCCCGTGGCGATGTTTTTACACATCGCATCCTTTGAGACTGAGTCGACCTAGGGGAGGCCCAGGACCGTGTGCTTACCTTTCCTATACGTTCCACTCCTACTGGACGTCTGTTTAAAAAAAAGAGCTTCATAGCTCATCGGATTTCTCCTCCAGTATAATTAAAGATTCTGGTTCAGATCATAATCGTCACTGACGGTGGCCGCGATCGGGAATCGAACTCGGGTAGCCGGGCTCAGAACGCAGCGCACGCCTTGACCACTACACAGCCGCTCCCCACTTTGGCAACAAAGATCCCCCGTGTATATATGAGAACAGGTCTTTGCCCTTTCTGGCAATATAGCAGGAGGGGTGTTAAGATGTTGCAACAACAAGGCCCTAATTATAATATATATTGGGGGTGATGCTTCTCCCCCCCCCCCCCATATTCAAATATACTCAAGATGTCCCCCCCACAACAATATATTGCTATAAAATTGATTTCTGTTGATATGATTGTGGTTATGGTTGTACATTATTAATCCCTAATCTCTGCCATTACATACAATGAAACAAGAAAAGGTAAAAAAAAACAGAGCAATGTAATACAATAACACTATTAGACATTATTGTAGAAAAAATAATAAAAAGTCCATCCTATGTGTTAGTGAATTTTTTTTTATTTTAGGCAGGAAATTCGTTTGGTCCCCCCTCCCCCCCAATGTTGACTCCATGGCTTACGGGCCTTGTTGTTACAGCACCAAACTGAAACCTTCTACAAGGAATGATGTCCGCGTTCACCACACGCGCCCCGCACTTTGTACAAACTAACTAACAAACCATGCGCACCGTTTGGCCTTCGACGATTTGCGATCACGGTCGCGGCAATGTTCGCGCTTCGAGCTCAGGCAACCATCCATCCTCGAGCTGCCCGTAACGCGTCGAGACGAGGGGAGGCGCAGTGGAACTCGTTTGAGGCCGAGTCGACCTAGGCGAGTCCCGGGAATGGGTTTCGGATATTCGCCGCTTGTCGTCAGCGGCGAATCGTCGAACAGATAATCGCACTGCTACCAATGGTTGCCGCGGCTGGGAATGATTGCCGGGTTCGTAAGCGCAGTGCGCTAACCACTGCGCCACAGATCCCCATTGCTCGCATACAGACTGTTGGGGCAAGTGCTGTTGGCGAGTAGCGCCTGTGAATGCCGGCACGGCGCACGAGGGAGACGGTGGCCAGCACCTTGCCCACGGACTTGCGCACGCGAGCACGCACACACATTCACGTCGAGCGGCATGCTCAGAATATATCACTGTATACACAACGCCCGCGCTGCGTTGTGTATGCTACATATCACCTGAAACACATAGGCGATGTCTAAAGCTTTTAGACATCACTCTGGAAAATGTCATTGATGTTACGGGTCCTTCCCGTATCGTCACCACCACCACCATCATCATCATCACGACCACCTCCAAGCGAGCGCAGGGCACGTCCACCCTTCTCAATATTATGACGTGTGCCCGTTGCGGCTGAGATTAACAATAAACAACGGGCAATGATTAACGTTGCCCAAAGTGTTGTAAGTTCTGTTCTGTCTTTGCGTATGCCAATGCGGAGGTGTTGCTGCTGCTGGCCACGACGAGAGGGATTCCGCAGAGAGAGAGAGAGGGAGGGAGAGAGTTCGCGTCGTTTTGCTGATCCTGCTCCTCCGTTGAAGGGGCGCAGTTTGTTTACGATATGGGATCCATAGTTTGAGTGTTATGACCGTAGTCGCACGTAACTCTGTGTATCTCACCGCATCGCGCGACGCTTTCAGATGCGCTTCTGCGGCCGTCTGGAACGCTCTTCCTTCCGATATTAGGAAGCCACTGGGCGCTACGCACTTTTAAATTATCATCTAGATTGACAAACTCGTTTTCTCAGAACAGATTGTTGTGATTAGTTTGGTGTCCTTCCCACGTACCTCCGATTAGCTCGGTTCGCTACGTACGGTACGAAAGAAGTTCGACATACATATGCATATATATGCACGTCTCTGTGGTCTTACTGGTGAATAATTAGGGTTCGCGTGGCTGCAATCGCACGACTGTGACTTGCGTCTTGAATTTTCCATTCGTCAAGGAGATGTGCGCATCTGATGCCATTAACCACGGTGGCTAGGAGATGTTGAATACCTCGCCTGGTCTACAGGAGGTTCGTGGGTTCGAGCCCGACCCTGACGCCTGCTGCTGTATATTTGGAGTTTGCGTGTCTCTCTTTACGCGTTTGCATTAATTTTTCTCCGGGTCCACCGGTTGTTCCCCCCCCACATGCGTTGAAAGCATTCGGCTGCGATACATTTCCACATGGTTGAGATGTCATTTGTGATTGCCAGATCGCTCCTGAAAACGACCTACATAGCTCAGTGGGCCTTACCAGGTAAAATAAAAATAGCGAAGAACACTGTTGGATACCAAGTCCCGTGACTGACTGAACACCTCCTCCACCCCGTACCCCCCCCCCCCCCCGGCCCCCAACTTATCTCCCCACCACAGACAGACTTCTCTCTCCCATGACCCAGCGGAATTTCCCTCCGTCCTTCTGGAGCAGCAGCACTTACCACCACGGCACGGGCACCACAGCAGGCATGGCGCTGGGAGCTCACCCGGCGGACCTCGCATTCTCCCTGGAGCCCTACCCGGGCATGCACCACCACCCTCACCACCACCACCATCACCACCACCACCACCACCCGCACCACCCTCACCACCACCCGCACCACCACCCGCACCACCCGCACCATCACCACCACCTCGTGCAGCAGCAGCAGGAGGTCGCGGCCGCGTGGCATTACCCGCTGTCGAGCCAAGCCGGTGCGTACTCGCGAGGGGTCTCCGACCTCTACTCGGCCGGGGCTCATCCCTTTGACCCCCTCTACGGGCCTCTGCTGGTGCCGCCGCCGCCGCCGCCGCCGCCGCTGCGGCCGGCGAGGCTGCCACCGGCCCTGGGTCCCGGGTGCGACCTCGGCAAAGCCTCGGAGAGCCCCGTGGGAGGCCCGTGGAGCCAGGGAGGCTTCGCGGCTCACAGCTCCGTGGAGGTGGCGCAGAGTTTGAACGCGGAAGCGGGTGAGTGAGTGAGTGGCTCTCTTGGCCGCTGCAATCGCGCGCGGATAACCAAACGTGTTTATGGAATATTAGGTATTATGTTTGTGAATAACGACGGGAACATTCTTTCGTCCGTAAGTTTCCTTGAAAGTTCAATTTAAAGTTACAAAAGGTAAAACAAATAATATGGTGTGCTATGAATAAGGGCCATTGCCCGAAACGTCACATATTAGATATATTATTTCATGTTTTTGATGAACGTGTTGAGTTGTTTTTTTTGTCGCTTTGTTATTTATGCTTGTGCACCACTGCCAACGCAGCCGCTGATGAGTCACCGGATGTGAAAACCCAGCCCCAGAGCTTGCCTTGAATCATTACCAATTCCTGCTGAAATTGACGCCTTCCCAGAAGGCCGTGCGTGCGACTGATGGGATGTGTAAAGAAACACACTTAACAACAGGGATTCCTCTACTTACGAACGGGATAGGTTCCAGAGGTTTGTTCCTAAGTCCAAATTTGCTCCTGTCCATTCCAAACATGTTGTACGGCATGTACACTAAACACGGGGGAATGACATTGAATGTTGTATAAGCTCCTGGAGATGTAGATGCCACTTGTTAACAACGCTTTATAATCTTGATTTGAAGCTTTCGTGACTGCAGAGATTCATATTCTTGGTTCTTTCGGTAAAGTCACATAGAAGTGAAACAACAAAATAACAAAAAATATTTTAAAAAATCAATAAAATTCTCACGACGTTTCGACTGCAACACAAGCAATCATCATCAGGTGTGAAAATCACGGCAATAATTTTTTTGAAAAAGTGGCGTTTTTTTCATAACGTTAGTACCACGGACAGCGATTTCTGGCAGTTGCTCAAATGGACGAGTCCATCTATGTTCGGAAAAGAGGAGGGGGGAGACGAAAAGAATGGATGCGGTCTGAAATTTTTTTTTTATTGTTTCCCTTCTACGTGACTTTACCGAAAGAACCAAGAATATAACGCTTTATAATCTTGATTTGAAGCTTTCGTGACTGCAGGAATCCATGCTCTTTGGTTCTTTCGGTAAAGTCACGTGGTAGGTATAAACTATAAAATAAATGAAACGCTTTATAATGTCCACTTTACTGTCCATCTTAATGCTGTGTACGGTTCATGTGGAGGCGTGAAAGGAGAGATCGCCTGCGTGTCTATCGTGTCAGTGATATCCTCGGAAACGAGACGGTTACGTTGAGTGAAATAATTCGAGACCTCTGACTAATGACGCGCGATGTGCTCTGCACACCGCGGTGTCTCCACAGCTCGACGCTACGGCCTCTGTAGCTCGTCGCTCATGAGCTGATGGTTCGGTTGACAAGCCTCAAGGATGGAGGGTTGCTGCTGACCCCCCCCCCACCCCCCAATCAACCTCTCCACAACAAGGACAAAGATCCCCCGTATAGCCTCCATAGACTGCTGGGGCAAGTACTGTGAACAAGCGCCCGTTAAGGCCTGCACGGCGCACGAGGGGGTAGGTTTGTGTGGCCGTGAAACCCCAAGTGCTGAAGTTTACACACCGCATCGCCAGACGCCCATATTGTTTTACTCTGAGTCGACCTAGAAGAGACCCACCCCCGTTTGCCCACAGCCCGGTTCAGATATCAAACGCCCACTGTCGTTGACTGTGATTGTAGCGCGGCGCGCTAACCGCTGCGCCACCGCTCCCCATTAATTAATTAATTAATTAATTGAGGTCTTGTTCAATCAATGAATTAATGCGATCGGCACGCGGCGGGAGGGAAGGAGCCCGGTGCTCACGAAGGCCACGTGGACGCCAGGAATGCCACACCACCACCACCCACCCCCATCCACTAACTTTGCCCATCCCATGCCACGTGGACAAACGCCCAGTGGAGACGTGGCTGCCGGTCAATGAGAACAGCCTTGGGTACCCCCATCCGCACGCGAGCATTAGCAGCAGATGATGATGATGATGCACAGGTAGAAAATAAAAAAATATATATCCCGGCAGTGTGGGGAGACTGTGATCACTACCCACCCAGAACAAAACTTTGGAGCGTAGAACATGGACTCAATGCCCCCCCACCCCCACATCCCCTCGATTCACAAATACGAAGGAGGCACCATCATCATCATCACCGCACATCCGATTAGCACGGCTGGCTACGCACGGTGCGAAAGAAGTTGAACGTACACGCAGCGGCGACAGGCGAGCCAGATCCTGGCTCCGCGACCATCGGGCTCATCAACCCACCTGGGTATGAACTTACAGCCGTCCGTTTCTGCTCGCCCTCGCTTTGCGCCGTCAACATCAGCCTGCCACCAGGAACCGGGGACCGATCTTCTCCTCCACGTGGTGGGCAAAACGCGCCGAGCTTCGGACCGCGATTGGACCAGCCTCGTTCGTCTACGCTGACTCGGTGCTGCAGCTGCAACACCGGGTTCCGGGACCCCTGGACGCACATGCAGGGCAATATATGGTCTGTTCGTGGGGCAGGGGGTGGGGGGAGGCGGGGGGGGGTGTTCAGCATTGTGGAATAAAAAGTCAGGACTCGGAGAAACGAATGACGTGATGGTGAGACGTGAGGTGACGTGACGGCGGGATGATGTGAGGTCACGTGACGGTGGGATGATGTGAGGTCACGTGATGCTGGCATGATGTTAGGTGACGTGACGGCGAGGATGATGTGAGGTCACGTGACGGTGGGATGATGTGAGGTCACGTGATGCTGGCATGATGTTAGGTGACGTGACGGCGAGGATGATGTGAGGCCACGTGACGGCGAGGTGATGTGAGTTGACGTGATGGTGAGATGATGTGAGGGTGATGTGACGGTGAGGATTATGTGAGGTCACGTGACGGTGGGACGATGTGAGGTCACGTGACGGTGAGGTGATGTGATGGTAAGGATTATGTGAGGTGACGTGACGATGGGATGATGTGAGGTCACGTGACGGTGAGGTGATGTGAGGTCACGTAACGGTGAGGCGATGTGATGGTGAGGATTATGTGAGGTCACGTGACGGTGGGATGAGATGGTGCCCTATAACTTCGTTAAATACGCGACTTAGACTCCAGGCCCCGGACTCGCTCCGTCTCACGAAGTCACGCGGCGCAGTTTGTAAAAAAAAAGAATTATAACGAAATTAACAAAACACACAAAACAAGCCTGCGGCGGAAAGGGTGAACGTGTTCACGCGTAAACGCAGCGCGAGGATTGGACCGTGCACACGATGACCGGACAGCGTGAACCCTTAGGGACTGCTGCACTTGGACCGTGCCAGACCCACCACGAAACGCGACGAGGGGGACCCGGACACTCACGGCTCTCCGCTTGAGTGTCTCCTGGTTGTATCGTTGTTGTTGTTGTTTTCTGGCGCGTGATTGGGTGCCACGGTGGCGAGATGTTAACTACCTCGCCTGGTATGCAGGAGGTCGTCGGTTCGATTTGACCCTGACGGCGGCTGCTGCTGTATATTTGGAGTTTGCGTGTCTCTCTCTCTCTCCGTGGTCGGGAGGATTTTTTTTCTCCGGGTCCTCTGGTGTTTCCCTCCACATTTAGAATCAATAACCACGCGTTTAGAGTATTTGGCTGCGATGCATTTCCACGTGATCAGCCACTGCGTTGAGCTATCATCTGTGGCCAGGTCGCTTCAGCAAACGAAACGTGTAGTGCACCGGGAGTTATCTGGTAGAATAAAATAAAAATAGCGGAATGTCCGACGTGCCGCCGCACGTGCTCACTTCGTTGTAGCTTCTTGCAGGAACTGAATTTGGGTGGAAGCAAAACCGTCGGACATTGTGCCGAACAGCACACAGCGGTAACAACCCGCAGACGCGCAACCGAGAGAGTTCGTGACGGTGGGATGATGTGGTTCTGTCCGACTGGACATCTGTGAAAAAAGAGCTTTATAGCTCATCGGATTTTTTTGGTATAAATAAATATTCTGAGTCTGAAATAACCGAAGCTAAACGTGAACGCTCTTGAGATTATGCAATTCTTAACTCTTTTTTGTGCCTGCAAAGGCACTTGCACACAGACACACATAGACGCTTACGCACAATCACTCAAACACAGACACTCACACACAGACACTCACACACAGACACACACATACACTTACACACAAAGACAAATATCTCCCGTATAGCCACTTACACACAATTACTCACACACAGACACTCACACACGTTTACACACAATCACTCGAAGACATACACACACAGACACTCACACTTACACACAATCACTCACACACAGATACTCACACACTTACACACAATCACTCACACACAGATACTCACACACTTACACACAATCACTCACACACAGACACTCACTCACGCTTACACACAATCACTCACACAGACACTCACGGACGCTTACACACAATCACTCACACACAGACACTCACACTTACACACAATCACTCACACACAGACACTCACACACACACAATCACTCGAAGACATACACACAGACACTTACACACAATCACTCACACACAGACACTCACTCACGTTTACACACAATCACTCACACACAGACACTCACACAGTCGCTTACACACAATCACTCACACACAGACACTCACACACGCTTACACACAATCACTCACACACAGACACTCACACACGCTTACACACAATCACTCACATACAGATACTCACTCACGCTTACACACAATCACTCACACACAGACACACACACTTACACAATCACTCGAAGACATACACACAGACACTTACAAACAATCACTCACACACAGATCCTCACACAAGTTTACACACAATCACTCACACACAGACACTCACACACTTACACACAATCACTCACACACTTACACACAATCACTCACACACAGCCACTCACACACAGCCACTCACACACGTTTACACACAATCACTCACACACAAAGACAAATATCTCCCGTATAGCCTTAACAGGGGCAAGTGCTGTTAGTGAGCACCTATTAAGGCGGCCACGGAAACGCGTAGTGCACAAACCGCTGCGCACCGCTCTATACACACATACATCGACAGAGATCTCACGTACAAGCTTAAACAAAGTGTTTGGGGCAAGTGCTGATAGCGAGCGCCTATGAAGGCCGGCACGGCACACGAGGGGGTGGGTGGCCAACACCACGCCCGGCCGCCTTTGTCTCCCTAGTGACGATGTTTACACATCGCACCCATTTGAGGCTGAGTCTACCTAGGGGAGGTCCGGGACCGGTTCAGACGATCGTCACTGGTGTTGGCCGTGAGCGGGAATCGAGCCCGGGTCGCCAGGTTTATACCGCTACGCCACCGCTACACCACCGCTCCCCAATAAACAAACAGACCCACGAACCCACGTGCATATCGCACCATTCACGTCTTCACACAAAACGCACGCAACAAAAGGGAGACAAAATCCCCGACTACGATGATGATGATGATGCTTGGGAAGCCGAATGGAGTCGTACCCTATCAACCCATCACGGTTCACCCCGTATTTTGTACAGGGAAATTGAGTTTTCTGGTCCATACGGCGTACAGCCGTTTCAATACGGGCAACAACAGCATTTGTTTTGTCTATTTGGTTGTGTTTCTCCCTTGTGATGGGACTTCGTAGAATGAGCGTTGAGATTTATAAGGGGCACGGGGTGACCAATAAGGTGTGAATTAGTCTGTAACGCGGTAGGGCACTGTTACGAGATTGACAGGTACGATGCAGTTGACGAGAAGTCACAGACGCAGATGACCCCTCCTCGGCTTGGACTTTCCATCCTGATGAAGCTCTACGAGGCCGCAAACCCCCAACTCAATCCGCGCACAGACCGTGGCGGCAGACGGTGACGACGACGACGATGATGATGATGGGCGAATGTAAAGTTTAAACAACAACAACAACACAACAACAACACTCTTCTTCGAGCAGTGTGCTGCGACTGCGGTCATCACCCAGAAGATAACCGCGTGGAGTGTAGAGCACAGAGACTCAATGCTCCGCCGATTCATAAAATACGGAAGGAGGAGGAGGAGGCATCATTATTATCGTCACAGCGACAATGATGCCACCACTCGCGCTACTGCTGACTCAGCGATCACCTGGCTAATCAACCACCCCGATGTAGAACGACAGATGTCGAAACATCCTTCGACATCAGCAGCCGTAACGTCGAAGACGACAAACGGCCACGCTCACAACCACGTGTTGTTCATTTACGCGCGCGTCACCGTGGCCTCTGCAACGCTTCGCGCGCGCGCGGGGGGACCAGCGTAGCATTCGTCTTTGTGTGCATTGTCCGAATGATCTAAGCAACGTCGTGTTCTCGTCTCGTCTCATCTCCCTGCCCGTCGAGACATCGGCGGTAGACACGGGGGCTGATGGAGGGGGCGAGAGACAAACGCGTGCGGTTGCGGGGCCGGGGGACAGAGGGAGCCACGTGAGAGAGCACGTGGCATCAAATGTAACAAATGATGATGGTAACACTGCTGCGATGTTTGTGGGGAAGGGTAGGAGCGGGGAGCGGGTGGAGGCGGGGAGGGGGGGAGGGGGGTGATTTTTTTTTGTATAAAAGAGGAAAAATAAAATAAAAATCCAGGTGGTTTGAATAAAACATCTGAGGGTTTGATGTTGATTATTGTTGTTAGTTTGTGTGATTTTTTTTTGTAACAAATGTAAGTGTGTATTCTGCGGCCTATTTGCAAGATCGGCCGGACGATTTTGTGCGCCCACTCTGTTTCATGCGAGCCCGCTGATCGAGTCCACGTGTTGGCAGACGAACTCTAATTTTATTTTTTTATTGTATGCACGCATTGTAATACATTGCCGTTTGCCAGCCAGACATATCACTATCGGTCTACGACAGATAGTACGCTAGGGATTAACACTGCCTGTGTGTATATGGTCCATATATATATGTACCATATACACAGTGTGTATCATATACTCAGTGTGTATATGGTCCATATACACACTGAGTATATGATACACACTGTGTATATGGTACATATACATATACACGACGTTTCATTAATGGCATTGGCCAAACATGTCGGTGGAGCAGGACCCTCCTGAAAAAGAGTATCCCGAGACTCAGTGTGAAAAGATACACCTCCCGTTCACAGCCCCGCAGAGCCAGTGATGGGCATTCCACATTCATACGGCGGGAGCGAGTCTATACTCTGTAGGACAACCACTCTTCGCCTCCCCACGAAGCGGTAAATAGTTTAACGACCCCGGAAGGGATGATGAGCTAAGTCAACCGTCCACTCCCCCTACTACCCCCCCCCCCCCGCCCCAGGATCTGAACTCGCAACCGGCCGATGAGAGCGATTCGCTCGCTCCACCCCCCTCTCTCCACGACCCAGAACCCCTCCCTGGCCGTATGAACGAGACGCGGACCCCCGCGATCAATGCTACTGACCCCCCCCCCCCCCCAGAACCAACGCGTGCGTCCCCAGCATTTTGCCGTTGAATCCACGTGAAGATCCTTGACGTGAATTACCAAGCC